CTCTCTGAAACCTTATGGAGGAATATTTTGCCCTCTATACTCACGCAAATGATAGCACTCTTCACGATATGGTGAAAGAAAACCCGGCATGTTAGTATACCCCCAATCAACCAAATAGTACTTCCTTGTAGGAGACATGGGAAATTTATTTTGTGTCTTGCTAATGCATTGTAATAAAATTCTTGGATTGTTTGCACTACCCTCCCAACCACACATCATATTCATTGTTGGTACAATTTTCTTTCCACGATATGGGATTTGATCATCTTGAGTTACACGAGCTGAAACATGAGTGTTGTCTATTGCCCCTACGCAATTCTATCATGCAAAAAAAGTATATATTGACATTTATATCAATGATAAAGTAACAATACATATAATGGACTTATAAAGAATAAATATATTCATACCTTGAAGAAAGGATAATACTTTATTTTAGTTGATATCTCCAGTGGAGTTTCATCATATGATGGAGGGGTGATCACATATTTGCTAAGAGAACAAATTGCATAAAGGACTTTCTTAAAATAATTGGAGGAGATAGTCTCTAATGAATGTTGAAACGATCCACAACTATTCATTGTCGTTCATAATGAGAGAGCACGAATAAAAGTATTGTTACTTGTTCTTGAACTGTTATATTTCTAAAATGTTTTAACTTTCCAATTCTCTTTATTTCTTCAGAAAGGGAAACAAAATCCTCTTTTTTCATCCGAAAAAGGTCAAAACAAGTAGCTGTATGTTCGCCTAGAACCTCAATCATCCAATCATATCCTTTTAATTTGAGATCTTTTGCGGTCAAGCATTCTCAATCCAAAATCGACTCCACTCCATACTTGTATAAATGGCCAACATCGCTTCAAATTGCTCTTCATCTGATTCAGAATCGGAATTAGAAGGTGGTGATGATTGATAATCATCTACATGAATAAATATATACAGTTAGAAATAAATAATCGAGTCCTCAACCATGACAAGTGTATACAAGACAATAAAAATAATCAATCCTAGAATATCTCCACATCACATTTTGTCATAGAAAAAAATAAACATAACCAATCCAAAATATCTCAACATCACAAACAACCATATAGACAGTATAAATATAAAAAAGACAACATGACAAAAATAAATACATATATCCTCAACCTAATACAAACAACATGAAATAAGCACATACAAATGTCCTCAACGCAATTCAAACAACATAACAAAAGACAGTTATAAAGTTTCGCTAGATAATACAAATAACATAACAAGCAATAAATAGAAATATTCTTAAACTACTATAAACAACATAACGAGATACGAATAGAAAGATCCTCGACCTGATACAAGCATGCATCATGGAAGAATTAACACCCACTCTTTTTTTTTCTCTCGTCGGGCATCGCTAGAAATATTGTTCTCCATAATGTATCATCATGTAAGACATGTATAGCTTTTTAAAATTGAGTAGAATCAATCGCTTCAAGAGCACTAAGCCGCAATCTACTTGGAGGAGACGGTGACAACGATGGTGACATCATGGTAGCGAGGCGGCGATGATCTACTTGGAGGTGATGTTAAAGGGGATAGGTTTTGAAGTTGGGAGGTCGATATTCTAGGAGAAACTAAAACCCTAGGCTAAAACACCTTTTTGTTGTTTTGAGAAAACCATTGAAATATTGGGTTGGTTGTGTTTTAGTACAAAAAACGAATCAGGTCCCAAACGTGCACCATTTCTTTTTTAGCAAAAAATAAAACAGAAATGCCACAAACACCCTGGTTACCAAACGTACCTAACTCCTTTGTTTCCTATATCTCATGCAAGTTTATTTCAATAGTTCAAAATCCATGTTCCACTCAAATGTTTATGTTTTACAAGATTTTATACATGTGCAATGCATCTGGTTAAATAATATAATTAAATATTTTTAGTTTATTTCCTTACCAAAAATTTGTTTCTTGGTTCTATTTTAATGTCTTTTGCTCACTTATGTCTCTAAACTTTAGCATTGTGATTATTTCGTTTAAATGAGCTACACTAAATTTAAATTTTTTTGTTGATAATTGAATTTATATGAAACAAAGGTAATATGAGGCCAATTTGAATTATCATGTTTCAAGCTTGATCTTAGAAAGTATAGTAGAAAAAAGAGAAAAACATTTGAAAAATAGCGTTATAAAAGGAATATGAATAATTAAAGCTAATAAGACAAGATGATTGATTAAAAATGGGTTAAAAACGATACAAAAGAGAATATGGAGTTTGTTCCTAATCCTTGATAGACTTTAAAAAAATCATAAATTAAAGATTAATTCTAACTCTAGTATACTTTTATATGATAAAAACATCCACATAGATATATAAAAGTACTAAAACAAGCTCATGACAATCCCTTCTAAACATTCCTAATTTACTTGAAAAAAAAACTATTCTATAACATATCCACAAAACAGTGTATTTCATTGCTTCTATTTTATTTTTTATTGAGCTGACATCAATCTTTCTCCATATTTATCTTTTTCGATAAAATTAGACTATATTTAAATATTGAAAAGGGATAATAAACTTTTAATTGGAATTTTTATGTTGGGTGCTTGTAGTTTTTATATTTTATGTGTTGGTGGTAAGTTTGTTGCAACTTTAAAATTTTGAGGTTTTTTTGTAATTATTAAGATTTTGGATTATTTTTTATAAAATTCAAACTTTTAGTGATCTGCTAATAATTTCTAGATTTGACATGTACTGTTTATAGATGTTGAACTTTAGGGTTTTTTGTGATTTTTAAAATTTGAAGAAGTTTTTTATAATTTTTATAATTTTGAGGTTATTTTTTTGTAAATTTTAAAGTGCTTGATGGTAATCCTTTGAATTCATCTTTATTGTTTGCAAGTTTTAAAATTTTAGAATTTCACGGTGGTTTGATATTAGTTGAACTTTTGAGGGTGTTTCTATAAGTTTTGAAATGGCAAGGTGGGTGTTAATAACAGATTTTAAATTTTTTGGAGGCTGCTGTTAATTTTTAAATTTCATGTTTGTTATTTTTAGTTTTCAAACCGTTGGGTATTTTGTATAATTTTAAACTTTTGAGGGCATTTTGTGCAAGTTTTGAAACGCGTTATTTTGTAATATTTCATATATTATAGCACGTTAGTTTTTTACCTTAACAAACTAATACTGTGGAGCTGTCTCATGTATTTTATTAATCTTATTTTTTTTAAATTGTTGAGCTGTAAGTAGTTCATACAAAACTAGGATATGGTATAATTATGATTGAGATAGTCCGTACTAGATTAGGATGTGATATAATTATGATTAAGATAGATTAATATTTAAATTAAATATTAAAAATAGTGAATGGTAATATTAACCATGAAAAGTTTTTCCCAAACTCGTGGTTTTAAAGCGAGTGTGATTGAGTGTAATAATCGAATTAAATAACAAGACTGTAGCACGAGGTTACTTATAAGTAGTAGTAATCCATATCTAGATCCAATATACAGATGAACAATAAACTTGGGTTAATTTCATAAACCCCCTAAACTCTGGGGTGTTGCACGTAACCCCCTAAATTTTGTTTGTCTCACATAACTCTTCTTACAGGGGCTTTTTGTAAAAACGATTCATAGTCGGTTGGCGGGGCGGGGGGGCGGGGGTGAGTACCTGAGATTCGGCGGAGGAAGTTCATGGCTGCCGATGAGAGAGAGAGAGGGGGGGAGAGGTTTAGCGTCTTTCGAGGCGTTTTGAACGAGGAGTGAAGATGGCGATCCAATAACCGATGTGGATTTTTTGTGGCGGGTCCGTAGGCCGTGAAGTTAGACTCCGATAGGTTTTCTCGGGGAGGTAAGAAGTTTATTGGGTTAATTTTGAAGTTAGATCCAATAACGCATGTACATACTTTTTTATGTCAGCCGTGTTGCTCCTCAACTATGGGTGTCTTGCAAAACCCTCCAAAATTTAGCTTCTCTCACCAAACCCACCTGCATATAATTTCTCAAATAACTAAAATTTCTCAAAAGAGAGGGGGGGAGGGGAAACTCAAATTT